GAAAAACAAAAGCCAGTAGCAGCCGCATACTCCAGCCAGGGTCCGGATAGACTGTGGAGACCCTGAATGATCAGACCCAGGTTAATTAAGAAGGGCTCGCATCAGATTTACGGAGTGCTGATTCTGACTCCTCAGGACCCGGAAGGAACTCCAGAGACAGCCAGTCTGCCAAGCAAATCGTGCGCCACACTTAGAACAGGTTGATTGGCGTTCGAGAAAGTGCACTTCTCAGAATAGAGAAGCCCTGCTTCAGTAGCTGCCTCTGGATAAGACAAAGCAGCCATGGCTAAACTCAGCTGTGGCGGATAGCTGTCCGTATTCCCTCCAAGAGTTCGCAGAGGGAAGTAGTGGTGTGCCGATGTGAAGCATAACTTTAATCCTCGGCTATAATATCATACATCTATCAAGATACTATATTCTTCCCCAGCTAGCGTTAAATTGTACCCGTTAGAGGAAATTTTGTGCAGTTAACCACCAACAAAGAACATTCCCCTGGTATCAAAAGAAGATTCCTTCCAGGGCGTGTGTGAGGGTGTGTGTGTGTGTATACATTCCTCATTTCCCCTTCCTTCAGGATTTCACTGTTCTTGACCGGTAAATTGTTATGTTTTAAAGTCGGCGATGTGAAAGGCACACAAAATCATTTAGTAAATTATCTGGGCTCATCTTAAGGCTTCAAACATTCTGGCTGGACCTCAGTAAGTTCACCCAGCTGTCACTCAGGACCTGTTTCTAAACGGTCAAGCGTGCACATGATAAGTAAGAGAATACAGTTCCCCGGAGCCTCAGATACTAGAGGAGCCGGAGAGGCAAACAGAAGGCCTGGAGGCTCGGGTGGCAGCTTGGTAGCTGATCTCTTGGCTTAGTTTCTGGTCTGTAAAGTGAAAGCTCTTTCTGGGCAGTTTCTGCAGTGTTTAATGAAATCACAACCAAACAGTTCACAGCATGTTGTTTGGCATTCAGTGAAAGCAAGACGCCCTTATTTAGATATTATTTATTAAAGAGCTCTTCAGTTTTAATTTTATCTATGGTCTATCTATCTATCTATCTATCTACCTACCTACCTACCTATCTATTATCTATCTATCTATCTATCTATCTATCTACCTATCTATCATCTATTATATACCTACCAATCAACCATCTATTTCTTTATCTATCTATCTACCTGTCTGTCTGTCTGTCTGTCTGTCTATCTGTCTATTGTGTATCTGTGTGTGGAGGTCAGAGGATGACTTGTAAAAGTCAGTTCTCTCCTTCTACCATCTGAGTCCTGGGGATCAAACCCGGGTCCTCAGCTGGGCTGAAGGGCCCTTAACACAGAACCATCTCACCGGCCCCAAGACACCCTTGCTAGAGGTAACTTACTCATATTCTAGGGCCAAACTACAGGAGCATAGGGCTCTGTGGGCTGGTACTTTTAATGTCTAGTTTTCTTTTGGAGCATTAACCTAACTGCACTAATTACAAAATACGTGACAGAAGCCACTCGAATGAAGAGGGGTTTACTTTGACTTAGCTTTTGTCCATCATGGTGGGGAAGGCACAGCATAGTTTGTGGCAGTAGGAACACATGGTAGAGGCTCACCACTTCTGGATGGACTGGGAGACAGGGCTGGGCTGTGGCCTGCCTTCAATGATCTACATCCATTTGTTAGGTCCTGTATCCCAAAGATGCTCCAGTCTCCAGAAACAGTGGGACCAGCTGGGGACCAAGTGGTCCAACACGGGAGTACAAAGGGCACATTTCTGCTTCAGCCCATAACAGTAACTACTGGTGTCTTAGCACACACAGAATAAATTCCTCTGTCTTCTGTGCAGTTAGCAAAACTACACATTTAGTAAGTATCCTTTTTTTTCCTTTTGATAAACTTAGCTATTTTAATGAGGAAAATTTATAATTTATATAAGGGAGTTTACCTTCAGGGATATAAAAGGCATTTCTTTTGCCTACCAGGAATAGAGTCTCTTCAGCACTTGCTTGTTCTGGTATAGGGACATTGACCAGCAGTGTTTATTTAAAATACCTGGCAGATTTCCTTGAACTTCTCATCTTGAATAGACACAGGAGACATAACACACAAATGGTTTGTTTTGAAACTCTGGCTGTCTACATCCTTAAAATACAGGTTCTGAATATGAAAATTCCCTGGTTCTTTTATTTATTTATTTTTATGAGACAAATTCTTATTATGGAGCCCTGGTTCTCCTGGAACACACAGAGATCTTCCTGCCACTGTCTGCTGAATCCTGAGGTTCAACTTGTGCCCTAACTAAATGTGTGGGCTACTATGGCTTCTATTGCTTTCTCGAGACAGGGTCTCTTGTAGCCCAGGTTGGACAGGAACTGGCTGAGGCTGACCTTGAATTCTTGGTCCCCTGCTTTCAGCTCTGGAATGCTAGGATTTTAGGCAGGCCTGTGTGCTACCACTCTGGTTTTGATTTTTGTGTTTTTGGTCCTGGAATCCTATCCAGAGTTTCCTGCATGCTAGTCTAGCATTGGATCAACCACTGCTGACAGCCGTAAGCAGAAATTTCCTCATTCTTTCTGAAGGTCTTGTTTTTAAATATTCCTTCTACAATTTTCCATATGATCATCATTTTCTCAGATTTTCACCCAAAGAGTGACCCAAAGTGTGTCTAATAATCACACTATTTCCATGAGGCGTCCCTATGAATATGATGTTCGTTGAGTCATTCCTGTGCCACCAGAAGCCAGGAAACACTGGAGAATAGGCAGCTCATTAAAGAATCCCCAAAGTTCTGTTTCTGTAACCTCGAATCATAGGTAGGAAATACTTGGTGAGCTCAAAATGACCAAGTCCCTCCTTTGCAGGACATTGTGTGCTTCACAAAATGGGAAGTTAGGCAGAGCTTCAGAGACAATGTGAGAGCTGAGCCAAAATTTCTTATTTTGGCCTCACATTGGCCATGGCCTGAAGGCAAGACTAAGTGATGGAGGGAACAGAGCCCCATTAAAAGCTGATGGTGAGAGGAGAGTATCTTTAGCATGCGAGAGTCTAGAAAATCTAAAGCCAACAAGCATGCAGAAGAAGCATTACCATCCAAGACGCCTATTTCACCATTCCCTGGGTCTTGTTAGTTAGGTGGGACAACTCTTAAGTAGACGACTTAACCTCATCAATGTATGAAGGATCTTCTCAGTGTTTAGGAAAGGTTAGGTAATTTGAGAATTTAATAAAAATAATTAGAACAAAGATTTCAGTGGGTCAGTAAGGTTGTTTAAAATCCTTCCTAAACATACAGCAATAGAAATAAATGAAATATAGGGGGCTGGGGAAAATGGCTCTGTGGCTGGAAGTACTTGCTTTGCAAGGACGAAGTCCTGAGCTTGAACCCCAACACCCTCATTAAAGAAAAACTGCACATGACTGCTCATGCCTGTAGCATCCTCAGAGCTGGCCCTCCAGCCAGCCTACCCAGAAGGCAAAATTTCTTATTTTGGTAAGAGACCTTGTCTCAGACAAGATCTCCTGAGTAAACTGAAGAGCATGGGGGACCTTGGGAGAGGGCTGAAGGGGAAGGGAGAGGCAGGGAAGGGAAGGGAGCAGAGAAAAATGTGGAGCTCAATAAAAATCAATAATATAGATATAGATATAGATAAGACCTCGTCTCAAAGGTGAAGCAGGAGAGCAAAAGAAGAAAAGTGAGTCCTACTCTGGCTTCCACACGTGTGCACATAGGCACACAGACACACTTAGACACATGCACAATACACGTAAAACATACTACACACACAAATAGTAAAATAAAGAAAACATTGGTCTAGGGTGCGAGGCAAGCGCTCAGTGATAGAGCACTTGCCTAGAAATGAGAAGTCTTGGACAGGTTCTCATCAGCACACAAATAAAGTTCAAATAAACTAATCAACCTGCCAATCAAATACAAATATAATTCATAAAATGAATAAAGACTCTCAGCCACTGTGACACATCTGTATTGTTCTAAAAATGAATTAGTCACTAACAATTTCTTTGGTCCCAGTGACAGTGAAGCAAAATGCAAGATCTATTTGATCTATTTTTTTAAAAGTAAATTTTCAGACTCTTTTCCAAATATTAAATTACTTTGTTTAACAAACTAATATTTCTCAAGTAGAGCCTAGAAAAGAGAAAATAATTTTTGGCTGCATCAAAGGCAGATTTTTAAGTTCAAATTCATTGTTTCAGGGAGGTAGCTTTGGGTTTGCTCAGTGAACCAGTATGAAATAAATGCTTATGGAATGATCAGAGCTTACATTCTGGTGAGGATTAAATAAGTAGACATTAAGAAATACATTTAACATTACTCAGTGTGAGTGTGTGAGTGTGTGTGTGTGTGTGTGTGTGTGTGTGTGTGGGAGAAATACAAACACACCACTGCATGATTGTGAAGGTCAGGGGACAGCTAGAGGGAGCTGGGTCTCTCCTTCTACTATGTGTGTCCCAGGGATCAAACTCATGTTCTCAGCCTTGGCAACAGGAGCCTTTACCCATTGAGCCACCTCCCAGACCTGCAGTGGACGTATCAGTGAGACAAAGAGCTTAGATACCTAAGAAAGTGTGAGTAACTGAAGCAAGACTGAGAATCTGTCCCTTTGGTTTATGTTCCTCTTTCCTGGACCCTAGTCAATGGAAATTTATTGACTAGATAAATCTGCTTCTAAAACTGTAGGTAAAAGCAGGGGGAAAAAGAGAAAATGTAAAGATTAATATGTCATTAATCTGGTTTTAAGGGCAAAAGGAAATGGATACTTGGCTGAAGATTAAGAAGAAATCAGTGGAGAAATTTTCAGCAGTTACAGATTTAGCCAGAAGTCCTGGCTGGATGACGGCTGTAAACAACTTGTACTTTTAAGTCCTCCAAATTCTGTCATACTCATTAATCATATTTTACAATTAAAGCAGTGCCAAACCCATGCCCTTGGACGGTCTCAGGCTTCCCCATCCCCTTCTCTCCTTCCTCCTAATGATTTACATTTTACCTTTGTCTTCTCTGAGGTCTTCTGCCTAGCAGTTCAGTTTGGCCAACTGCTCAAGTGAATGGAAGCAAGCTACTCTACCACAGTTAAACGATTGCACGACGAAAGAATTCTTATCAAATGCTTCAGGCTGCGTTAAGATTGCCAGAAGTTTCATCAATGCTGCAATTTTCCAGGCCAGCCAGAGCTATACAGTAAGACCTTATCCCTAAAAACAATTCAAAACCCCCAAACAAACAAAGGATCACTTCCAAGCAGAGTGAACGCATCCCGAATGTTTGATGGAAACCACGGCAATTGTTTCCCCACCTTCTTCTTTTTCCTACTTCTTCCAGTTCCCTTTGCCCTCACACTCTGGCCCACCACTTGGTGTACTTTCTTTCAATAACTTTCAGCTTCACCGCCAGCCAGAAAAGTTGAAAGTGTTTTTAGCTCCTCTAAGTGGTAGGACGATCCCTTTAGGACCCTCTGTACGTACCTCTGGCCAAGTTTCAGGTCCAAAGTTCATATACTTTCCCTAGATGGGCATTAGATTGGGATTAAAGAATGTTTAAGAAACAAACAAAAAAAAACTGCAGAAAAAAATGTAATTACCGAAGATTTTGAGAGAAATTTGACCACCGAATGAAGTACTTTTTGAAATAAGAAACACTCACTTGGGCAATGGAAACTTGCACTGGAATTTAATAGAAGATGAAAAAATTAGGAAGGAAAAATGTAAGGTTTGTTTTTATTTACATGTGGGTGCAAGTGGGTATGTGTATGTGAGTGCAGGTCATTGGCTCCTCTGTAGAGCTGGTGTTACAGGCACGTTGCCCTTCCTTCCTTCCTTCCTTCCTTCCTTCCTTCCTTCCTTCCTTCCTTCCTTTCTTCCTTCCTTTCTTTTTCTCTTGAGACAAGGTCTCACTGTATAACCATAATTAGCTTGGAACTCACTCTGTAGGTCAGACTGCCTTCAAACTCACAGAGACCTGTTTGTCTCTACCTCCTGAGTACTGAGATGAAAGGCATGCAACACCACTCTTGGCTAAATCTTTTTTAAGGCAGAGATTCACGTAGTCCAGGCGAGTGAGCTAGAAAGCCTTGCTAGGTAGCCTAAGACACAGTTGAAGCCCTGATCCTCCCACGTCTGTGTTCCAAGTGCTGCAATCACAGGCGTGTGCCATCATGCCCAGCTCAAAATGTGAAGTCTTCCTTAGGTAGTTGATTATATAGTACAAAAATAGATGATAGGTGTGGATACACTTTGTGAAGACATTTCATCTCTCTGGAGGCCTGAAGCTCTTTTCAAAGTCAGAGGTTCTATAAGAAGAAGCGACAAGGCAAGCACTGCCTTGTGCACAAAGCAGGACAGTTCAATTTACAAGATACACGAGGACAAAGTTATGTCATGATTTGTAATTTTTTTCCTGCTCTGACAGGGTCTAGATATATTATCCAAGCTGGCCTCGAGCACTTGGCACTCTCACTTCAACTTCTAGAGTTGTGCAGATATGCCCGAGCAAGCTTGGCACTGAGGTACAGCTTTTCACAAAAAGCAGCTTTTTGAGGACATACTTGGCTAGGGATTATTAATATGCACATTATCAATTGTATCAGATTGTAAAAAATAAATATCCTGTACATTCTAGCGTATGCCTTCAATCCTAGCAAGACAGAGGGAGGTTCCCTGTGAGTGTGAGACCAGCCTGGCCTACGTAGTGAGTTTTAGGCCAACCAAGTACTACTACATAGTGAGACCCTTAAAAAAAAAATAAATAAACTGGGCGGTGGTGGCGTATGCCTTTAAGCTCAGCACTCGGGAGGCATAGGCAGGTGGATCTCAATGAATTCAAGACCAACTTGGTTTACAAAGTGAGTTCCAAGACAGTCAGGACTGTTACAGAGAGAAACCCTGTCTCGAAAAACAAAACAACAGAAAATCAAAATAAAATAAACAAAAATAAAGGAGTGATATAGAACATTTAAAAATAAAATGATCATTACTAACCATTAAGTCAATTCTTGATGTGTGGTACTTACAAATTGAAGCCAAACTCATTCCAAACAAAGACTTTAAGACATACTTTGACAGTAGGTGGAAACATTAATGTGTTCATTTTGACTTGGACATTTCATGAAGTTTCCAGAAAGTGTTCCTCATCCTTTGCGTGTGATATTTACAGTGTTTCATAGGATTCTTCTTTAGGAGGTAACAATTCTCAGTGATGGAATCTGGAAGACTCTCAAGCTCTTGTGCTGGAGACTGGAGACTGTTGTCTGAGGTCCTGCCCAGCTGTGGCCGCCTGTGGGCCTGTGTGGCGGGAGGCAGGCACTGTGCACTTCCAACCTCTCAGAGGTGTGTGCTCCAGCTTTGGGAGGGACTGAGTGAGTCTTGCGGTGGGGATAGGAGTGAGGAGGAGGGGAGGGAGGGGCATTGTTTTCTACGAAGCATAAAAAGATGTGGCTGAGTGGAAAACCTATTCTAAGTCGGACACGTTTCCTCTGTCAACTGTCTATTTAAATCCCCTGGTTTGGACAAGCGGAAGAGTCACAGCTTATCTAGCAGCTGAGGTCTGAGGACAGGATGTCATTCTAACTGATGCTGCATTTGTTGACATTTCAGACAAACTCGGGACTTTTTATGTAAATAGAATTGTCACCGTATTTTAACTTCGTTGATAAAGTTATGGCTAGGGCGGAGGCGCTGTCCATGTGGTTCAAACTGAGGCTGTGTGCCCAGATGTTTGTCTTTTAAACTTTCATGGTGATCTTGTTTTGGAGAAGTAAGACAGACTTTTCGAGGACGGAGAATGAGGGATATACAAAGCACAGGAGGTGGGGACAGAGCTGTGGCCTAGAACAGTTTAAAAACAACCATATTTAAAAAAAACAATGTGTGGGAGGGCCAAGCATGCTTACCAGAAAAGCCGGTATTTGTTGGACTTTTTTAGACATGTTCTCCTGTAGCCTAGGTTGACTTCAAACTCATCACCTAGCTAAGAATAGCCTAGCATTTCTGACCCCCTGCCTCTGCCTCCCAAGAAGGATTATAAGCCTCAATAGCCACTCCTAGGTTTACACAGTAGGGCTCAAACCCAGGGCCAATGGAGCTATACCTCCGACCTTGTTTGTTTGGTTTTGGTTTCGGTTGTTTGTTTTTGAGACCAGGTCAGTGTGTACCCCAGGCTGGACTCAAACTCACCTACGATTTAGCCTCTCAAGAACTAGAATTGCATGCACCATTACACCCAGCTTGAGAGGGAGGGAGGGAGGGAGGAGAAGGAAAGAAGGAAGGGGGGAGGGGGGGAGGGAGAGAGGGAAGGAGAGAAGAAAGGAGGGAGGGAGAAAGAAGGGTGGGAGGTGGAGGCTTGAGAAGAAGAGAAAAACTGTCCTGTACACGCCCACAGTTTTGCTAGCCCATCTTCATTTTACTTCCCTTGAATCAGCATGTCTGCTTTTCCGCAACCATCAGATTTTTATGAAGGCCGATGGGACAAAACACCGAACCTCTCATTTTTTTCTTTTGAGAATTCTGCTTTCAGAAACAACTGAGAGCCTTTGCTTACCAAACGCAGAGCCTTAGGGTTGGCCTAAGCCCACACCATGATTCAGAGTGTGGTGACAGAGGACAGAGAAGTGACGTCAGTGTGGACTAAGGAGACAAGAGCAGTGAGTCCGTGTAGGTTTCAGTCAATCATCCTGTGAGGTCAGGTGGGATAGCTCCAGTGTCTGCTTTCCGTACCCATCCTACCTCTTCCTGTCTAAAGAGAATGAGTAATTTACTAGGCCTGGGGATGGAGTTCTGTGGTAGGGCTCTAGCCTCATGTGTGAGACCATGGGTTTGGTTCTACACCAAAGCCACCGCCACCACTCCACCCCCACACAAAGGCCTTCTGATTCCACTTCTGGGAACACATCTGGAGTTCCCAACAGGAAGCTACAAAAGTTTACAGAAATAAGTAACTACACTCACTTATACACTATATCCTAGAAACCTTGTCAGTGAAATATGTTTGGAAGCAAAGCCCTATATTAGAATTAAGGCATGCTTGGCTCTTAGATATAGAATGAGCCAAAAGGACTTTTGTTAGCTTGCTTTTAATTTTTTCCTTAAATATACTGTATTATTAGAAAGTTTAAAAATAAACAAGATACTACACACCAGAATTAGTCAGATTCAAAGACTATACAACTCAGTGAACTTTTGTTTTTAATCAAGACTGGGTTTCTCTGTGTAGCTCTGGTCATTCTGGAATTCACTTTGTACTCTAGGCTGGCCTCAAACTTAGATATCTGCTGGGATTAAAGGTGCGTCCCACCACCTCCAGGCTTTCAGTGAACCTCTATATTTTTATAATTTTTTAAAAAAAATGCTGCAAAATCCCCTGCGGCAGTAGGCAGCAGAAATGCTGTAAGTCCCAAATGGTGGTAGGGGGCCATGTGGCAGCAGACAACAGGCCCTGGGAGCAGCCAGTCCCAGGCAGAGACAGCTGCTGGTCCCTGAGCAGTAGCTGGTCCCAGGCAGGGAGACACATGGTGGGCGGGTAGGAGACAGAGACAGGGATAGACAGACATGCAGAGTGAGGTTGAATATTTATTCAGGGGGTTATGGAGTGTGAAGGGTGAATGGGGGTGGTGAGAGACAGAGAGAGAGAGAGAGAGAGACAGAGACAGAGACAGAGAGAGGAGAAGAGGTAGAGAAGGGGAGAAGCGGAGAAGTGGGGAGAGAGGCAGAAGCGAAGCTGCCTCTCTGAGAGGAAGATGGAAAAGAGAGCGAGCTCAGGCTGAAGATCAGCCTGCCTCAGAGGATGGGGGAGGGAGTAGGCGTGGCTTGTCTCTTAAAGAAACAGAACAACCATTACACATATGGCAAGAGTAGGCACTTGGGGGCTGAAGAGATGGCTCAGTGGTTAAGAGCATTGCCTGCTCTTCCAGAGGTCCTGAGTTCAATTCCCAGCAACCACATGGTGGCTCACAACCATCTGTAATGAGGTCTGGTGCCCTCTTCTGGCCTACAGACATACACACAGGCAGAATATTGCATACATAATAAATAAATAAATAAATAAATAAATAAATAAATAAATAAATAAATAGTAGGCACTTGGAATGAAAGCCCTGGAGCTTGATCTAAGGAGGCCCAGGTTGTCCTCTGCCACACGGAGGATGACCTGGATCTTCTGCTCCTCCTTCTGTCTTCCACTAGCTGGAGTTTCAGATGTGTACCACCAAACACACATTCCTACAGTGCTGGGATTGAACCCATAGCTCTGTGCTTGTTAGACAAGCAGTCTATTGACTGAGTCAAGTCTCTACCCCACCCCCACTCCACCCTGCCCTCTTAATTTCAGTTGTGGATTAAACCTAGGGTCTTGTACTTGTTAGGGAAGTAAGTCCTTTACCATGGAGTTAAATCTTCAACCTCTTCAAGAAACTTTTTTTGCTTTGTTTAATTTTTGTTTTCTGAGACATGGCTTCTCTGTAGCTTTGCAGCCTGTCCCGGAACTAGCTCTTATAGACCAGACTGGCCTTGAACTCACAGAGGTTCACCTGCCACTGCCTCCTGAGTGCTGGGATTAAAGGTGTGCAGCACCAATGCCTGGCCAAACCCTTTTAAAAAAATATATTAGGTTTTGGTTTGTTTCTGAGGGAGGGTGTCTGGCTTAATCAGTATTCTGTTGCTGTGAAGAGACACCATGACCATGACAACTCTTATGAAGGAAAGGCTTGCTTACAGTTTTGGAGGTTTAGTTAGTCAATGTGAAGGGAGTGAAGAAAGAACAGACATACAGACAAGGACACACATACAGGAAAGCTGGGATCAGGGGGATATCTGCTACCTCTGGTGGAGGGTGCCTACTGTTGCCAGCAAACTGGAGAACATTAAATATAGCACTGGGGGAGGGGCTTGCTAGGCTCAGTAGGAGGTCTCTGTGGAAGAGCAGTTCTCAGACTGTAAATATCCAAGATGAGGAGGAAGCAGCGGTTGCTGGTCTTCATACACCCTGGTCACTCATCCATACTCACTCATACTTGGACCCCAAGGAGAATATTGTCGCCCTCCTGAGCTATGGAGAAACAGATTTGCCAATTTTTTATAACACTGAGGCCTTGGGGTCCTTATTATGTCTGTGCCCATGTCAGCAATATACATCCGCTCACTCAAGATTTCCTCCATTCCCCACAGGGTCTCATAGCCTAAGCTGGCTTTAGCTGTAGCTGAGAAGAGCCTAGAACCCTTGATTGTCCTTTCTCAGTCTTTCAGATGTTGGGATTATGGCCCCACATCCCCCCACACACATTCATTGCAGTGGTATGGATTTATAGCTCTGTGGTAAACAGATAGCAAATTTTTGACAGTTCCTACAGGCTATGTCTGAATTCCTTCCTTTTTAAGATGTCTCCTTCCCAATGCATTTGCTGTTTTGTAGGGCAGGCTTGGCACCTATCCTTGTTTTGTCAGTTTGTTGATTTCCTATCCCTTCTGGTTAGATGGTCTAAGATGACATGGGCTATGAATACATGGAAGGGAAACTCCAGATGTCCAGGCAAGGAAGCAAATCGTGAAGAGATGAGAGTTTGGCCACTTGATAAGCTGATGCTGAAACTTTAGGTTGGACTCACTCAGTATTAGGGCTTGAGGAAAGGGCAACTGTCTATGCTAGCCAGGAGGGCGTGATCTAGGTGGGAGACAGGGTTCTTTCTAAAATTGTGCTTAACTAACGTCAGAGCATAACAAAACATTCGAAGAAGATTGTTGTCTCCTGGTAAATCTCTTTATTATTTTATTTTTTGGGGTCAAACCCTGGCTTCCTAGTCCAGGCTGCCCTTGAAATCATAATCTATGTAAATCTTTTGAAATGATGTTCATTCTCTCAGTGAATTTGAACATAAAGTCCACATAAATCCTCACAGAAAATCAGGCACTGAAGCCCACAAAATGTCCTCATAGGCTAGTCATATGTCAGAACCACAGAGGTGGCTCAGTTGCTTCAGGAGGAGATGCAAGGAGGCATTGACTCACAAGATCAGCATTCCCTGCCTGGAGCTCTGCTCCCAGACTCCAGGAGGCCAAGACTTTGGAATGTCTTCTGCTCCTTTTCTTCGTTAGTCCTACTACAAACACCCATGCCCTGTGTCAGCTCGATGGTCTCCCTAACGCCTTGGATAGACGGAACATACTGTTAACAATCCAGCTGACCAAAGTGCTGAATGCAGATGTGCTCAGACTTCCACCCACAGCACGCTGAGTTCTTATTTATTTATTTTTTTAACTTCACATGACAAGGGCTAGGGATGGTACTCTTTCTTGACTCATCTTTTGAACGTTACCAAAGCTGAAAAACCAGATTATAACTTTATTTACCACAAATTCAAGCATGGCAAATAAAATGTGGGCAGGCAAGGACAGGAAAAAAAAAAAAAAACCGCAGATCCAGTTCTGGCTTGTGATGCCCTAGATTTCCCTTAAGTATATTAACTATTGCACCGTGAAAGTCAGCAGAATTGAAGAGATGCACCACAAAATTGCTGTGTTTCAGATCTCATCATGGCAAGACTGAGGCAATGGGGGAAAATGAAAATATATGTTAATCATTAATTTGATGGTAGATTTTGTTTCCTTGACTTTTGAACAAGTTGAGATTGTCTGAGTACAAGCTCTCTTATTTTCTTTATCATATGACTAGTTTGTTTTATTGATTCATCTTATACATTTAAAATATTGTATTTTCTTTATTCTTTCTAGGAATTATCTGGGAAGGGCATTGCATCTTTTTGTTGTGGTGATTGCTCCATTTCCAATATCTGGCACTTAATTTGTGAGGTTCAGTACAAGATTAAAATATGGGAACTGAACCGGGCATTGGTGATGCATGCCTTTAATCCCAGCACCAGGGAGGATCTCTGTCAGTTTGAGGCCAGCCTTGTCTATAAGAGCTAGTTCCAGGACAGGCTTCAAAGCTACCGAGAGACCCTGTCTCAAACAACAACAACAACAAAATGGGAACTGGATTAGTAACTTTTTTCATTGTGGTGACAAAATTCTTTACAAAGGTAACTTAAAGGAAGGACTTATTTGGTCACAGTTCAAAGTGAAACTGTCTGTCATGGTAAGAAGGCTTGGCAGGAAGAGCTTGAGGCAGCTGGTTCTATAAGAGAAAGGGATCCCCTTTTCTTCTTCAGTCTGGAACTTTAGCCCCAAGGGTTGTATCTCCTACATTTAGGGTAAGTTTTCTCATTTCAATTCATAAAGTCTAGAAACTCTACAATAGACACACCTGTAGGCTTGACTTCTGGCTGATTCTTGGTCTTTTTGAGTTGACGATTGATAGTAATCATCACAGGGACTCTTGCCCCCACATGGTTAGGTATTTTAAGACAATGGATGCTCACGAATGCAGTTTCAGGGCCCAATTGAAGACAAAGCTCTGTGCTACTCTACAGGTTGCAAGCTCATGAATTGTATGCTGTTGGTGTATAATAAGCACTCTGCTGTGGACTAATATTTCCATACACCGAAAATGTGTTACTCTCATTGTTAATAAAAAGCTGATTGGTCCATAGCTAGGCAGAATTTTGGGGACAGAGAAACTGCTGGGAGGAAGAAGGGAAGAGTAAAGGAAGTCTGAGGAGACGCCATGAGAAGCAGATGAACAGTATGGGAGGTACGTACATGAGGTAAATAAGCCTTGGAATAGTGTGCAGATTAATATAAATAGACTAATTTAAGTTATAAGAGCTAGCTAAGGGCTGGAGAGATGGCTCAGAGGTTAAGAGCACTGGCTGCTCTTCCAGAGGTCACGAGTTCAGTTCCCAGCAACCACATGGTGCTCACAACCATCTGTAATGAGATCTTGCATCCTCTTCTGGCCTGAAGGCATACATGCAGGGAGAACACTGTGTACATAATAAATAAATAAATCTTTTTTTTTTTTTAAAGAGCTAGCTAAACACAACCTAAGCTATCTGCTGAGCATCTATAGTTAACATTTAGTCTCTGAGTGGCTATTTGGGAAGTGACTGGCAGAACAGAGCTGATTGTGGTCCTAACCAAAAAAAAACCATCTACAGCACTCAGAAATTGTCCATTTACTACTGACTTACTAGACATATATTTTCTAGGAATATATAATTTGTCCTGAAGACTAGCAAGTAAATATTCATGAATGATAGTCACTCTATACTATATCAAATTTTCCTTCTTTTAGTTCTGTATGCCCCTCCCCAACCCTGTCTTCCTTTATGTCCCAAAATCTACCTAATCTTAAGAAAATAAACTGAGTTGAGTGTTATCTTTCACTCTGGTTTTTTTTTTTGTTGTTGTTGTTTTGTTTTTCTTTTGTTTTGTTTTTTTTTTTTTCAAAACAAAGTTTCTCTGAAACTTTGGAGCCTGTCCTGGAACTAGCTCTTGTAGACCAGGCTAGCCTTGAACTCACAGATCCGCCTGTCTCTGCCTCCCTAGTGCTGGCATTAAAGGTGTGTGCCACCACCACCTGGCAGGTACACCTCTAGGAGTTTGAGGCCAGCCCAGTCTGCACAGTGAGTTCCTGACCATCTAAGGATGTTTGGTGAGACTCTGTCTCAGAAAACAAAACAAGACAAACATCTCCTCCCAGAATAACAAAAGAACCAAATCCAAAAATGGCTGAGTTATCTCTCCAGACCCAGCCTTTCCTTTTAGAACACCATCTTCCAATTGTTTTCGCTACATCAGTTGAAAGATGCAAATTAACATATGGAATATATAGATTTCTACATGATTTCATGCCTATATGTTTTATAATTAGTAATTATGATTGTGCATGCATTGTCTAGGCAATGTTGGAATAACAGAATATAAGCAACTGAAGTTATTATGCAAGTGGGATGCTTTCTATCTGGGAAGCCTCATGTCGCTGATACAGACCAGACTACTTCAGAGAAGAAGCGCTTAGGCTGAAATTTACTTAGCACCTCACAAATCAATGACAAACAAGATTCTCCCCCTCTGGCCCCTACAAAATATTTTCCCTCTACTGAAGCAGCCCACGTGACCCTTTCCAGCAATGAGCCGACACTGGAGCTGTAGCTAGAGCTTCCTTTGAAATCAGTGAGACTCTCTGCAGCAATGGGAAGAATTGCAGTGTGCGCACAGTAATGGATTTTTAAAAATAAAGTTCATTTTTAGTCCTTTACAGTTAAAATGCAAGTCATCTGATTCTAAACCATGAATGCTTGCCTGGAGTAAGTCCTATAGGGCTTCATTTTTGCATGAGTCAAGTTTTTGACTGCATGTTGGTCTAGTAACACTTTGGAGCAGTTCCAGACAATATTATCTCTGTACAGTTATCCATCCTTAAAGTGACTGATTTTGTTTTTTTTTTTTTAAGAAAAGATTAACAGGAAAGCTTTTTTTTATTAAAAACAATGGGGGTTGTGATGTCACTGGAGACATGGCTCAGCCGTTAAAAGCACTTGTCCTTATGGAAGACCCGGTTTCAATTTGCACCACCCATATGACAACTCAAAGTCATCTGTAACCCTAGTTTTGGGGGATTCAACACTCTGTTCTGGCGTCTGTGGGTACTAGGCACTCACACACATGATACATGGAAACCAAACATTCATACACAGAAAATAAAATTAAATTAACAGAAAAAATATTTTTCCAAAAGATCTGAAGCGTTGGTTGCTTGAAGAGAAGCAGACTTCACCCTTAGGAATGACGGAGTGGAACTCAATCCTTCATGTACAAAAACAATACTGCTTGACTATCAGCATCACATCCTTTTGAAACAGGGATTTTCTGTGGAGCACAAGCTGGCATTGGCCTGAACGTTGACCCTCCCTTGCTTCCACTTCCTAGATGTTGTTACCACGCCAAACTCAACAGTGGGTTCTGAATTTGGGTGTGGGAGCCCTGAGCTGCTTGCCTCCCAGGAAGGAAAACAAAGTTCAGCTAATGGTAGAAAACATACAAATTCTCCCTAAGAGGTCTGAACGTCTGTGAGTCCTCTGAGTTATAGAGAGCCTCTTGGCTCTGGGAAGGTGTCCTGGCAGTTTGGAAACCTGCGCCACAGTTCTTTAGGGATAGTGACTTCATGGCCACATGACACAGTGCTGTGTATTGGGCTCTGCCTAATGGTTTCTTTCTTGGCCAGAAGTTGCTGAGCATAGGAGTTGGAGGTGCCTGGTCCCTGTTTTCTTTATGTGCATAGCTAAAGCCAAGGCTTTGAGAGGAAGAGATGGGACAGAAGAGGCCTGTGTGGCAAAAGAAGCAAAGACCGAGGCGAGTGGAGGCAAGTGCAGAGGGTGGGTCTTGGAAGCCAGGTTCTGAGACAAAACAGGACAGAACAAAACCAAACCATCCCTAGGAGGAGGCTGTCACTCACTGGGCAAAATACTACTGGTGAGACACGATTAAGACAGAGGATTAATGACTATGAATTTTGTAATGGGACAAGAAGATTAGGCCTAGGGGCTGTCTACTGACTCAATTTTATACTGTGCCTTTGACCTATCTTACAATGGGGAAAAGTTACCCTAGAACCAGGAAGCACCACACCCTAGAACCTCTGTTTTTCTATTTCACAAAGCTGAGAGCTATTTTATACCTTGAAAATGACCCAAATCTGCACTGTCAAATATTATTCGTTTTGGTTTTTAAGGGATGTACCACACAGCTGGGCTGTGCCACGTAACCCTGCTTCTCTTTGCTGCCATCTCCTTAAGAACGCCTTTCACCGTGTTTCCAAAGGCCTTGCAACTTGCCTGGGACAACGGGCAATGCCATAATTAGATGAACAGTGTGGGAGACCTCTGAGGGCAAAGCCATGAAAGAGAGCTACTGTTACTTATTGCCCCAGAGAGTTCGTTCCCAGAGGTTCATGAGGTAGCTTACCATGAAGTGGCGAGAAATCACTACCAGTAAAAGTTAGGATATAATCTGTGGCTGACCTTTTACAGAGATAATGATAGATAAAATGGTGCGGTCTTGAATTCTTTGCTAGTTAAAATAGTCATAATTTGTAAACACAAACCAACTCAACTTGGCTTTATTGTTTTAGGCAAAATGGTTTATATTTTATTGGGCCACATTTCTTTTCTTTTTTTTTTCCCCCAGAGGATCTGCTCACTGACACAGAGTTCAATGAGAGATTTTGGAGACCCTTTCAAGTGGGTAAGAGAATATTTGTTTCTATGCATTCAAGAAATGCTTGCCATCTCTTAAATGTAAAGTTTTTTTTTTTACGTAGACGGGGGTCTCATATAGCCCAGACCGACAGTGACTGACATAGACCAGAGGGTAGCCATGAACTTCTGACCTTCCTGCCTCCGCACCCCAAGAGCTGGGTTTTTAGAAGTAAAAGTGCTTTCTGAAGTTTATTATTCATTGTGTCAGCCTCCTCCCTGTAAGGTTTCCAGCTTACGGGGCAGTAAAGGGAAGCCCATGGTATAATGTTGCAGTAGAGGACGCTTGCCTTTCTGAATTCAGACAAACGTAACCTCTCTTATTCTTCCGACTCTCTCTTTTCTAAGCCTGCTTTCTTTAACAGGATGTCCCCACGATTAGGCTTCTTGCCTCTTTCTCAAAAGGCATTTTCTCTCGCCACCGTGGCTGTTTGTCCTTCATGTGGCTGACCTTCACGCCAGCTAAAAGGGCATGCTGTCCTTCCTTTCTCGGCTGGATTCCCCTCCTCCTCTGGGCAGCTGCCTAGGCGAGGGTCACAGCTTTCACAGCCTGAGCCTTTCCCTTTTGAACTTTAGTGAAATTGTTCCTGAGTTTCCAATGAGTCCATTCTTAAATTCTTTTATTAACGAGAGTAAACTCCTCAAGAGAGGTCCCTGATTCCCTCTGTAAGACCTACAGACCCAGATGGGACCCCGAATCTCAGAAGCAATAATGTATGTTTTGTCTACCTTGCATTCTTTATCGAATTATGAAGAAATAATTACAAAGGCCCATTGCATACACCTTTTAAATATAGTGTAAGTGAAACTGCTTTGAATTTTTTTTTCAGTATTTACACTTTTTTTTAATCCTTTGTTGATTTGAGACAGGGTCGTGGTTCAAACTGACCTAGAACTTGGAGTCTTTCTGCCCAGCTTTCCCAGGGCTAGGATTATGGGGATGTGCTGTCCCGGGGTTATTTCATGACAGTAGCTATAGACTCTTAACTAGAACAGTGAACTTGTACTAGAATAGGCTGCATTTTGATTTTGTGTTTTCAATTCTGATTTATCTTTTCATTTCAAGGGCAAGTAGTCACAAGTCACCTTTTTCTTTCTTTTGTTTCTTTGTTTCTGTTTGTTTGTTTATTTATTTATTTATTTATTGGTTTTTCAAGACAGTTTCTATGTGTAGCTTTGGAGCCTGTCCTGGGACTCACCCTGTGGCCCACACCACTGCCGGGCTTTTCTTTTCTTGTTTGAGATCCTGTCTCATGATGTTATGTAGCCAGCCTGGTTGTCAGTGCCATCTTCGGTCTCACCTCCCAAGGGCCGTATTGCTGGCCTGTATCTTTGGGCCCAGCTTCCACACTCTGTTCCTCCTGAGAGCTCACTGATGATAACACACCACCTTAGGACACAAAATGAGTTTGCACCTTGGGAAGCCCTAACCGGTTCTGAGCTGCAGCACAGTTCCCTTAGAGCCACCATCCACAGGCACAGAGGCATTTCTGGACAGGGCAGGTGACAATTTGAGCAAAGGACAGGCCAGTTGCGAGAAACTCAGGGATATCCTAGCCTTGCTCTCAGTAGCAATCTTCACAATGTAGTATTTCTCTATGGAAGTCTTGACTTCTGCAGAAATTCTCTCCTTTTGGGAGTGGGAGTTGGCGGTTGCTGAGGATTAAACCCAAGGCTTCTTGGCTTTCTGTAAGGTGCTCTTCCATTAAGCTACGCCCAAGGCCCCCAAATTCTTTTCCTTTCTAATCTATTTATTTATTAGGGTAGCACTGTGTAGTCCTGACTGGCCTGGAGCTGTGTAAGCCAGGGCGGCTTGAAACTCAGTGATCCACCTGTCTCTGCTTCCTGAATGCCAGCATTAAATGTGTGTGCCATTACACTTAGGCCTCAAGTTCATTTTTAAATTTAGTACTAAATCTCTTGACACATTTGAGGGTAAGCAAAGAACATCTGGAGGAGAGAGACTAGAGGTTCAAGCTGCAATCCAATTTTTGTTTTGTTTGGTTTGTTTTTGTTTTTGTTTTCAAGACAGGGTTTCTCTGTGAAACAGTCCTGGCTGTCCAGGGACTTGCTTTGTAGACCAGGCTGCTCTCGAACTCTCCGAGATCCACCTGCCTCTGCCTCCAGAGTGCTGGGATGAAAGGTATGTGCTACCATTGCCCGGCTGCAATCCAGTTTTCATTGATCACTAGCTAAGCCATCTTTCTTTTTAGCTGCTTCCTTTTTCCTGTGGTGTAAGATGCATTAGTTTTCTTGTGGCTGTGATAAAGTCCTTGACAAAAGCAACATACAAAGGGATGCTGCAGTGCGCTTTACGGATCCAAGTTGACCCATCATTGTGCAGAAGTCACGGAAACTGGAGAGTGAGCTGGCTGGTCAAGTCGCATCTCGAGTCAGGACGCAGAGAGTGATGAGCACAGGTGCTCAGACAGTTTTCTTCTTTCTATTCAGTCCGGGTTCATAGGCCTTGGAAAGGTGCCATTCACATTTAGGATGGGGTCTTCCCATCTTTTCCCAGTCCAGAAACAGACATGGCCAGAAATTTTTCCTTTGGGTGATCCTAGATCCTGTCAAGACAAGATTAATATTAACAATTACATAAGATTTTGTCATCTTCCCTCCATGCCTATGGTTAAACAGCAAATAGTCTATTTAGTATGGGGTACTTGCAAGATAATTAATGCAATACACACTTTGTTGACAATTTTCTTTAAAGTTGTCCAAAACAACAGCTATAAAGAATGAAGAAATGTGGTAACATCTTCCTTCCTTCCTTCCTTCCTTCCTTCCTTCCTTCCTTCCTTCCTTCTTTCTTTCTTTCTTTCTTTCTTTCTTTCTTTCTTTCTTTCTTTCTTTCTTTCTTTCTGTTTGTGTCTGTGTGTTTTCTGAGTAAAATCAGACTGTCTTTGAACTCTTGACCTTCCTATACCCACCTCCTTGGGTTTTAGGATTATGGCCATGAGCCATATCTACTTTGGTAAAAATTTGAAGGTTAACTTTAAGAGGGTGAATTTTAAAACCCACCCTTGGCCTGGGATGCTAGCCTGTAATCTTAGTTACTTGTAGGCTTGAAGCAGAAGAATCACTATTTCAAGTTCTGCCTGGGTTACAGAGTGAAGTTAAAGCAGTTTGGGCAAGGTGGTAAACTCCTGTCTCAAAACAAACAAGCAAACAAATAAAATAAAAATTCAAAATCTTAAAAGACCTTGGTACTTGAAAAGGGCACAGGATAGCATCGTTGTTGGAGGGGTTTCAGGAAAGCTAGGGATGGTTTTCCAAGGATGGAGTTACAAGGATCTAAAAATAAAATGTTTTGTTAAAAGACTTAGTTTGTGCTGCGGTCTGATAGGTTCTAATATATGCGTTTTGTGCTATCATTGTGGTGAGGAAATAAATATGTAAAGTAGCTTAAGCAACGTAGGAAAGTAGTTTCCTTCTTCGATGATGCATCGAAGAACACACCACATCCTTGTTCTAGGCTTTGTCATGGAGAAAATTTCCATGGCTGTTTCCCCAGTGTTCTCTTTGGCTGTGCACTTTGGAGAAGGTAGAGACGGGAGCAGTTAAAACGCATTGCTCACTTCTTCCAGTGATTCAGATTGCCTTATCTAGTCAATGAATATCTTAATGGCTTAAAGAAAGGGCTATTTGTTACTCCCCTTGGGCAGATTCAACAACGTTAGCTTGACAGCTTACAACATGGAGGTATGTTGTAAGACATTTTCATCTTTGGAGATAACATTAGATAAAATCATCCATTGTTCTTTATTGTATAGTGGCTCAGGCAGTGGGGCGGGATTTCTAGACCTGGCTGTAGACAGCAGGTATAGATTCACGGATGCTTGGCAACAGAGGCTAAATAAGAGATGACTGCAGCAAAGGGGAGAATCTACATCACACTTGAGTTTCTGCATCTCTTCCTGCGTCTTCAGTCCTGGGCATACGTTAAAGTGGGCCCTTCACTAGTATTGGCTCTGTTAGGTGACTGCTTTAAATGAAACAAATCCAACCACTAAGGCCTTAAAGTGGTTCAAACAAATAAAGAAGAAAAAGAAAAACTGCCCAATTCAAACCATCATGTTTCCAAAACAATGAGTACTAGGAAAGCACCTTTAAAACTAGTGCTAAGATTTATTTTTATATTAAATATTTTGTTATAAAAATATTTTCCTGTCATGCTGTCACAAGCAAAAGTGTTTTAAGATGTGAATTAAGGAGGGGGCACTTGGAACGCTGCTTATATTCATCAGTATTGGCATTTCTCATCTGTGCAATCTATTCTTCCTAAAGTGCTTCAGAAGGGATGGTGGGCATATGTTCTGGAGTTCAGGGTTCAAATCATTATTCTATATTTTCATTCTTTGTCATCCTGAGCAATTTGCTTTCTTGCTATGTGCTTCAGTTTTATAATTACAAATGAAACAAAACACAATGATTATATAGTATATGAATATTAAATGAGCTAACATATAACCCCCAGAACTATGTCTGGAGATTTATGGATGCTTGGTGTGTTTTTATGCCTGTATTTATCTCCTCAGCTGTTCTCTAAGGGAAGAGAAAGGACTGTGTTTTATCACTATTTTGTTTGTTTAGTTGGCTTTTGGTTTTTGGGCTTTTTGTTTGTTTGTTTATTTGTTTTGTTAAGTCAGGGTTTCTCTGTGTAAATCTGGTTGTTCTGGAACTCAACCTGGAACTTGATTTGTAGGCTTGGCTGGCCTCAAACTCAGAGATCCTCCTGCCTCTGATTCCAGCTGCTGGGGATAAAGGGATGCACCACCACGCCTAGCGACACGTGTCCCTAATAGGAAAGATGACTCTGAACTCTCAATCCTCCTGCCTCTGATTCCAGAGTGTTGGCATTAAAGGCGTGTGCCACCACCACCGGGTACAAGATTTTCATGAGATCAAATCAGCCAAAAATCTCTTGAGGAAGGAAAGGGCTCACAAAGCCTTATCCTGTTTGAGGACCTAGAGTCATTTAATGGACGCTGGAGAAGAGAGTGTGTAACTATTGGTAATGTGACTGTGCTCCTGTGAGCAATCTCTCATACTTTTTGCTATCAGCAACCTTATCAAAACTTGTTGGGTCTTTTTTTTTTTTTTCTTTAGAAAAGCCTGGCAGCATCAGGTGGAGCCATGTGGAAGAGGAATTAGGTGCAATGGGAGAAAGATAAGTGAAGGTAACGGGCAGTCAACGAGATGAAATTTATGAGGTACTGTGTTAGTTACCATTCTATTGCTGCGAAGAGACACCATGACCAAGAAACTAAAAAAACAAAAAAACAAAAAAACAAAAACAAAAACAAAAAAAGCATTGTTTGGTGGGGGCTTGCTTACAATTTCAAAGGTTTAGTCCATTATCATCATGGCAGGGAGCTTGGAAGCACCCATGGCACAGAGAAGTAGCTGAGAGCTTTACATCCTGTACCCTGGTAGCAGACAGAGAGAGGCCATACCTGGTGTGGGTTTCTAAAACCTCTAAGCCCACTCCTAAGTGACATACTTCCTCCCAGTTCACCCCTACACCAACAAGGTCACACCTCCTAATCCTGCTAATCCTTTCAAACAGACCCACTCCCTGGTGACTAGGTAATTCAAATATATGAGCCTCTGGGGGCTGTTCTTAATCAAACCACAATGGGTACACACATGAAAATATCATAATGAACCCTTTATGTACAATAAGTAAAATTAAATGTAGAATTAGTTTAATTAGGTTTCCATCGCTGTGATAAGCACCGTGACCAAAACTTGGGGAGGAAAGGGTTTCTTTCATATTACAGCTTATAGTCCATCATTGAGGGACGTCAGAGTGGGAACTCAAAGCAGGAACCTAGAGCAAGAACTGAGACAGAGACCATGAAAAGGCGCTGCTTACTGGCTTGCTCCCCACGGCTTGCTCATCTCACTTTCTTATATAATGGAAGACCATCAGCCTGAGGGTGGCCCCATCCAAAGGGGCTGGGTCCGTTCACATCAATCATTAATTAAGAAAGTGCTCCAACAGTTTGCCAATAGTCCATTCTTACTGAGGCTATTTTTCAATGACATTTCTTCTTCTCAATGACCTAAGCTTGTATCAAGTTAACACAAACTAACTAGGACAATCATACATATATAATTAATATATATTATTAAGAAATAGATAGAGTAAGGGGAAGTCACAATGACACATGACTGTTATCCTGGCACATGACAGGCTGAGGAAGAAGAATCTTGAGTTCTAGGACACCTTGGACTACATAGTAAGAATATCTAAAAAACAAACAAAACAAAATCAAAATAAACCATAATGAAAACAAAACAAAGAAAGATTTTAAGCTGGGAGTGTAGGTCAGTAATAGCGGCTGTATTTCCAGTTTTAGTCAAACCCAGCAAATACAGGGATGGTTTAAAACTTTCCCTTTTGTTACACATACTTAGTAACTACTCAGTAAAGGATCAAATTGAAAAAGAGAACTACCAGATTCTGTCGTAGAAATTCTTTCAGTGTCCTTTAGAATGAAATTATATGAGAAATTACTTCTCTCTCTCTCTCTCTCTCTCTCTCTCTCTCTCTCTCTCTCTCTCTCTCTCTCTCTCTCTCTTTGGTTTTTCAAGACAAAGTTTCTCTGTGTAACAGTCCTGGATGTTCTGGAGCTCACTATATAGACGAGGCTAACTTCGAACTCACAGGGATCTGTCTGCCTCTGCCTCCCGAGTGCTGGGATTAAAGGTGTGCGCCACCACTTCTGGGCTTGCAATTACTTTGTTTTAACCCAACTGTTTCATCTCAAATTTTCTACTAGCTGTTTTAACTTAATATAAGTCCAAAAAAATATGTATAAAGATACAAGAAACAGTGATAAAGCCAGGCATAGTGGCTCATACCTGTAATCCTAGCATCCAGGAAGTTGTGTCAAGAGGAGAGCCACAAGTTTGAGGTCAGCCTGAGATACAGAGTGAGACTGTGGGGGCCTACCACCCAGCTCCCAAATAGATACACAGAAACTTATTTTTCCTTAAGAATGTTCAGCCTTAGCTTGGCTTTTTTTAAAATCAGCTTTTGTTATCCCATTTCTCTTTAACTGCATTTCGCCTCTAGGCTTTTTAACTTTTATTTATTCTATATATCTTTCTTCTTTCTTCATGGCTGGCTGGGTGGCTGGCCCCTGACGTCCTCTTCTCCTCCTTTTCTTGCTCCTCTCCCTTCTCTCTAGATTTTCCTCCTATCTATTCTCTCTGCCTGGAAACCCCACCCAATTCTCTCTCCTGCCT